AGGGCCCACAGCAGTTCCCACATCACCTGACTAGAGGAGGAGGGTGAGGAAGAGGAGGACAAGGAGTGACCTTGTAGTGGAGCTGGCAGACACCACACCACTGCAGGCCTTGCGGGGGCTGCTGCCACTGCTGGGACTCTGTCATGCTCTTGCTGTGGTCTTCCCTGTGCCTCAGCTACCATGCAGGGGCCCAACGTGAGAGTGAGACCTGCACCCTGTTCTCCAGGCACCCTGATAACCCCCAATCTCAGTCCCACCAGGGGCGTGTTCCTGCTGCCATAGAGGGGCCAGACCCAGTGGTCCCAGGCAGGCTGCTCTGTGCCCCCGTGGCTGTGCAGCCAGTGCCCAGAGGGCTCAGCCCATGCTGGCAGTGGGCTCTGCCAGCTCACACTGCTGGCTCTGGGGCTGGCACTTGAGAGGGAGAGTGGGTGTTGGTGCTGCTGGGACCTTAAACACTCGCACCAGTGCTCAGCGCTAGTTAATTATCCGCTTACGTTCACTTTTATCTCTCTATCTGCAGCAGTGACGCAGCGGGGGCAGTCCTTGCCTCCTCAGCCACACAGATATTCTCCTCAGGTTTATTTTTGTTTATTTTTTACCTGTATGTTTTGGCATGAGTGTGGAAGAGCTGCTCCACCCAGGCTGGGACTGCCAGTGGCTCCATGCCCTGCCCAGGCACTCCCTGTCACAASCATTCTGCTGAGTACCGCCCTGGGTGCCCAGCATGGCTCTCCCCAAAGGGAACTCCCTGGGGATGGAGGTTTGTGCTCAGCTTTTCCCCATGGATAACACATCCAGAGGCCTCGCAGTTCACATGCCCATGTTTGGTCTGTTCCTGCTTGCACGTGTCCCCAGCTCATGCCCACCTGCAGTCTGTGTGTGTGTGTTACCTGCCGAGTGCCCCATGCACCCGCTGGCCTTGCCTCAGCTCCTGCCTGGGGTCCTGCCTGCGGGGAGCACTCGGCTCCTCCAGTGCTGCAGCTCAGCCCAGGCCTCAGCTCATTTGAAGGAGTTTCCCCAGCTGTGCTGTTCTGGACTCTGTGCCCACCTGCACAGGAGCTGAGCACCATGGCAGGGCAGTGACAGCAGTCAGAGCATCCCCCTCCTCCCAGCTCCCCTGGCACACCTGGACAGCAGCATCCTGGCTGTGCTACACATTCCATRTCATTCATTGCTCACTCCTCTGGTCTGTACTGTCCTGCCTGCAGGGCTGTGCAGAGTCAGGGGCTGCAGGACCTCAGCTGGACCCCAGCTTCGGTCTCTCTGCTCACCCCACCTGTGGCCAGGCCATGCTTGGCCACACTGGTACCAAGCAGGGGGCATGGTTGGGGTTGGGGCATGGACCCCAAACTCCCACCAGGATCAACAGCAGTCCCACAGATGCAGAGGCAAGACCAGGAGCTGCAGCAGGTGTGCTGGCACTGGTACAGGTGGGTGGCATGRTGGTGACATGGCCACAGCTGGGTGGAATTGGGACCCACATGCTGTGTCAGCCCCACTATCTGCCTTGGGGTGAGTGTTCAGGAGCTGGGACCCATGGCCAGAGTGTTGGGGAACCCACCAGCTGCTTGCTCCAGCACTGGACAGATGGCACTACCCCCCAGGAGTGTGAGTGTGCAAGGTTGAGGCAGCATTGGTGGGTGTAGAGTGACAGCCCCCCGGGGTGGCAGTGTTCAGGGCTGGAGATGCCCACATKGTGCCTGGGTGCTGGCACATGCAGTGCTCAGTCCCCATCACCTAGCATGGCTCTGAGGACTCCCTGAGAACAAGCAGGACTTACTGCTGGGCTTTGAGGTGGGCTCAGAGAGTGGCAAAGCCTCTGTGCATCCCCTCARCCCACAGGGTGCCCATGCAGTGATGCCAGATCACCAGTCACTGGCTGGTGACACATGGGGAGCTCTGAATTGCAGCCAGTGACAGCTGGGCAAGCACAGCTCATTCCTCAAACAGAGATAACAGCCCTCGCTGGGATCCAGCCTGGGCTTTATTTACCCAGTTGCTGGACTCTGTCTCGAGGCTCTACCCCCATCACCCCTCACAAGGTGGCTCTGAGGGTCTTGYCAAGGTCTGATGCTGTGGGGTGACCCACGCTGGGGTGGCTTCCTCCACCAGTGACCAGCTTTTGGCAGCACCTTTTGTAGGGAAGTGTTTCCATGAGCCTGGCACAGGCAGGGGCCCCTACAGGTGTCACCCCCCAGTGCCCCATGGGACTATGACATGTCCCCAGCCTGGGGCTGCACAGTGCCACAACYTCCCCCTGCCCCTGATTTTTAAACAGAGCGGCTTTGAGTAACCCCGCGGAGGTGAAGCCAGGAGCCAAGTCCAATTTCTGTGCTTAAATATCTGATTATTTTCCCATTAAGCACTAATTGGCCCCCGGCCATGTGGCTGAGCCCCACACCATCTCCAGGGAGCAAACCCAGCTCCCATGGACGTGTTGGGCTCTTCCCCCCAGCCCGGGCACCCCCTCCAGGCTGCTGTGCCTGGTATGAGCTTCAGCATTAGAATTGCAGTTGCTGCACCCTTGCCAGTGCCAGCCGAGGTGGGGAAGGCGATGAGTTCCTGATGGCGTGCAGTGGGGAGTTGCCTGGGCACGGGCTGGGGGTCCTCAGTAGCAGCTGCACCCTCCAGGGAGCACATCGATGGTGAAATATGGTCATGCAAAGGCAGGGGATTGCATATCCTGCTTGTGTGGCTTTGGGGTGACATCTTTCCTGCGCCCTTGCTGGGGGCTCAGAACTCTCATGCTTCTTGTCCTTGCAGTTCCATCCTGTTGCAGGATTCTCCACGGTGCACAGGGTGCTGTCCCCTCGCCCCTGATGTGTTGCGGGGATGGGGACAGGACAGGCTCAGGACAGCCTCCACAGTTGTGGGGCCCCTTGCTGTGGACTGGTCRGYGCCGGGGCTGTCCCCAGTGTTGCCRTCCCCGGTGTTGCTGCCCCAGGAGCAGGGTCGGGCAGATGGCCGGTGTGTCGCTGGTGCCGGTGTGGGTGGTGAGGGCTGCCAGGGCTGCTCCGGGAGCGTGGGCCGGCTCCTGCCGTGACTCATTGCCAGGCTGGGGGCGGCCGGGCCGGCCCTGCTCCCAGCACAGCCCCACAGTCCTGCAGAGCGCTGTGACCGTGGCCGTGCACAGCAAGGTGAGGGGCACAGCAGGGCAGGTGTGTGCTGCACCTCCATCTGGCTGTGCCTCCCAACCAAATGTGCTCCCCATTCGGCTGCATCCCCATCCAGCTGTGC